GGGGGTGGGGAGGGGAGGGGGAACTGCAGGAGGGGGCCCGACAGCAGGGACAGGGCACTCACCGCAGGATATGGCCCGGCTTGAGCCCCGTCAGCTCCCAGGGCGCAGACTGAGCCCCGGGCAGAGGAAATGAGGGTTCAACCCAAAATCTCCCCGACACACCCCCCTGCGCTCCACTTCTGCTTTCCTCTGCCGCTTCCTGTGCCACCGCAGCGGGGGTGTCGCAGCCGCCAGCCCGGCCGCCCCAGCACGGGGGGTGACGGAGCCGCTGCCTCACTGCAGGAGCTCCCAAGGGGGCTGCTTTGTCCTCACAGCCCGGCCTGAGGCCAGGGAGGAGCCACGGGGCAGCGAGTCCTGGTCAGAGACAAACCAAGGGGACGGGGACACCTCTCAGCCGGGGGGAGTCCACACACGGACAGGGGAAGCTGCTGGGCTCTGCCAGGCTGGGGACAGGTAGGGGGGGACACAGTAGCGAGGGCCCTGTTGCAGTGGGGAAGACCCCGTCTTCACCGCACGGCGTCCCAGCAGCTGCTGGTCATAGAACCACAGAATGGTCAGAGATGGAAGGGACCTTAGAGATCATCGAGTTCCAACCCCCTGCCCTGGGCAGGGACACCTCCCACCACACCAGGTTGCTCCAAGCCCCCTCCAACCTGCCCTTGAACCCCTCCAGGGATGGGGCAGCCACAGCTTCTCTGGCCAACCTGGGCCAGGCTCTCCCCACCCTCACACCAAACAAGTTCTTCCTAATATCTAATCTAAATCTCCCCTCTTCCAATTTAAAACTGTTACCCCTTGTCCTGTCACTGCACCGACTCGCTAGAGAGCAGCTCTGAGGAGAAAGACCTGGGGGTCCTGGTGGACAAGAGGATGCCCATGAGCCAGCAATGGGCCCTTGTGGCCAAGAAGGCCAAGGGCATCCTGGGGGGCATCAGGAAGAGTGTGAGCAGCAGGTGGAGGGAGGTCATCCTGCCCCTCTGCTCTGCCCTGGGGAGGCCCCAGCTGGAGCACTGGGACCAGTTCTGGGCTCCCCAGTTCCAGAAGGACAGGGAACTGCTGGAGAGGGGACAGCAGAGGCTACAAAGATGATGAGGGGCCTGGAGCATCTCTCTTGGGAGGAGAGGCTGAGGGACTTGGGGCTTTTTGGAGAAGAGAAGGCTGAGGGGGGATCTGATCAATGCTCATAAATACTTAAAGGGTGGGTGTCAGGAGTCTTTTTTCAGTGGTGCCCAGTGACAAGAGGAAATGGGCACAAACTGGGACATAAGAAGTTCCACCTAAACATGAGGAGGAACTTCTTTCCTGTGAGGGTGGCAGAGCCCTGGCAGAGGCTGCCCAGGGAGGTGGTGGAGTCTCCTTCTCTGGAGACATTCAAACCCACCTGGACACGTTCCTGTGGGACCTGCTCTGGGTGGCCCTGCTCTGGCAGGGGGTTGGAGGAGATGATCTCCAGAGGTCCCTTCCGAACCCAGGTGATTCTGTGAGTCTAAGGGTCCCCCTCCAGTCTCCTGCTGCCGGAGGAAGCGAGAGCACGGAGCGGGGGTGGCATTGCAAGGGGCCACCGTGTCACTCCTCACCTCGCCCACTGCACTGCCAGAGCCTGGCCCCCCTCTTCCCACCCCGGGGGAGCACAGGCTGCTCAGCGTCCCCCAGAGCTCCCCCAGGGGACACAGCGACACCAGTGGAGTCATTCCTCACCCCAAACCCACCACACCCCCCCACGGGGACCTTAGGCCCTTGCAGTGCAGGCTGTGACAGAGCAGGGAGCAGGACCCATTTGGTGGCGCAGGCTCCCTCTACGAGGAAAAAACTGAGCTTCCATTTTAGCAAATACACCAAGAATTTGGGGCCTGTGTTGCCTCAGCCTTTCACCAACCCCTCAGCATGAGGGAGGACCCACATTTAGCTTGCTAAAAACCTGGGTTTGTCACAGCCAGGTAACAGGTATCAGCCTCACAGAGATTTATTATTAATTATTATTAATTTACAGCAAGAAGAAGAGACCAAAAGCGCTGGCACTCAGGGCAGCCCCCGAGCTCTGCCAGTGCCTACAGCTTCTTGCCCTTCTTCAGCCTGTTGCGCTGCCACGTGTTGTACTTCCGCAGGCGCCTCCAGTACTCGATCGAGTCAGGGTCCAGCTCCTCCAGCTTCTTGGGGGGCCCCAGGTGGATCTTGAAGAGCCTGGGGGTGAAGGCAGAGGACGTGAGGCTGTGGCAGGGAGGGCAACAGGACGAGCACGGGACGGAGCTGTGAGCAGGATGTGCAGGTCCCTCACCCACCACGCACAGGGTGTTGCCCGCTCTCCTCCCCTGGGCCTCGGGGAAGGTCTCTGGGCTGCAGAGCGGCAGTTCTCCTCTTCCCAGAGCAGGTCCCTGTCTCTCCGACACTCACCTGAGCCTCTGGGATGGCACCTCTGCAGGGACGGGCCCCCAAGAGGGACTCCCCTTCCCACCCAGACACGGGGGCTGGGCACCACCTACCAGTCGGGGTACTCGGAGTCGGGCTTCAGGGCCACCTCCGGGCCCTCCTTGAAGTAATTGACGCCCATGGCGTGGGTGGTGAGCATGACGGGGTCCGTGCAGACCTCCGGGCCCTGCAGCGCCTCCTTCGGCACGGCCTTGCCCTTGGACTTCATGGCTGCGGGGACAAGGGCACGGTCAAGGCCGGGGACACAGAGACGCTAGCGGGGGAACGGACGGGAGCCGGGGACGGGGCGAGGTTCCGTGAGGAGGGAACCGGGCCGCCACCGGGGAGGGCGCGGGGCGCGCGGGGCGCGCGGGGCACGCGGGACCGGGCCGCGGGGGGGACTCAGGAGCGCGGAGGGGGGCCGAGGGCCGTGGGGCAGCCCCGGAGGCGGGGGCGCCGGCAGAGGCGAGGCTCACCGGGCTTCTTGGCGTATCCGCGGGCCGGGCCCGGCAGCGCTACCCGCACCGCCCGCAGCAGCACGCGGGCCGCCATGTTGGGCGCCGCGGGGCACGCCGGGAGGGGGCGGGGCGGCACTGCGCGTGCGCGGCGGCGGCGGCGCCCGGAAGCGGAGGCGGAAGCGGAAGCAGAAGCGGTGGAACCGTCCCCTCCCGGGGCGGTGGTGGCGGCGACAGCGTCTGCCCGGCCCGGGGAGAGGAGCCGGCGCCGGTGGGGTTGGCCCTGGCGCCCCCGGGCCGGAGCCAGGCCATGGAGAGCAGCATGGATTTCCAGGCGGCTGCGCCGCAGGATGTGCAGGTCCCTCACCCACCACGCACAGGGTGTTGCCCGCTCTCCTCCCCTGGGCCTCGGGGAAGGTCTCTGGGCTGCAGAGCGGCAGTTCTCCTCTTCCCAGAGCAGGTCCCTGTCTCTCCGACACTCACCTGAGCCTCTGGGATGGCACCTCTGCAGGGACGGGCCCCCAAGAGGGACTCCCCTTCCCACCCAGACACGGGGGCTGGGCACCACCTACCAGTCGGGGTACTCGGAGTCGGGCTTCAGGGCCACCTCCGGGCCCTCCTTGAAGTAATTGACGCCCATGGCGTGGGTGGTGAGCATGACGGGGTCCGTGCAGACCTCCGGGCCCTGCAGCGCCTCCTTCGGCACGGCCTTGCCCTTGGACTTCATGGCTGCGGGGACAAGGGCACGGTCAAGGCCGGGGACACAGAGACGCTAGCGGGGGAACGGACGGGAGCCGGGGACGGGGCGAGGTTCCGTGAGGAGGGAACCGGGCCGCCACCGGGGAGGGCGCGGGGCGCGCGGGGCGCGCGGGGCACGCGGGACCGGGCCGCGGGGGGGACTCAGGAGCGCGGAGGGGGGCCGAGGGCCGTGGGGCAGCCCCG